AGTCTGGGCAACAGAGTGAGACTCCAACTCAAAAAAAAAAAAAAAAAAGAAACCAGTCTCAAAAGTTGCATATTGTATGATTCCTTATTTATTTATTTTTTTTAGACAGGGTCTCACTCTGTTGCCCAGGCTGGAGCAGAGTGGCACCATTCTGGCTCACTGCAGTCTCAGCCTCAGGGCTCAAGTAATTCTTCCATCTCAGCATTCCGAGTAACTGGGACTACAGGCCTGTACACCACACCAGGATAACTTGCTAATTTTTTGTAGAGACGAGGTCCCACTATGCTGCACAAGCTGGTCTCAAACTTCTGGGATCAAGCGATTCTCATACCTCAGCCTCTCAAAGTGCCAGGATTACAGGCATGAGCCACTGTTCCCTGCATATGATTCCATTTCTATGAAATGTATGGAACAGGCAAATCCATAGAGACAGACAGCAGATTAGTGGTTGTCAGGGGCTAGGGGAAGGGGAAAATTAGGAGAGGCTGCTAATAAGTACAGGGTTTCTTTTTTTTTTTTTTTGAGTTGGAGTCTCACTCTGTCGCCCAGACTGGAGTGCAGTGGCCGCTCCTGGCCACCACAGCCTCGCCTGCTGGGCTCCAGCGATCCTTCCGCCTCAGCCTTCCAAGTAGCTGGAACTACAGGCGCGCGCTACCACACCCCGCTAATTTTTGATTTATTGTAGAGATGAGGTGTTGCCAAGTTGCCCAGGCAGGTCTCGAACCCGTGGGCTCAGGCAATCCACTCACCTCAGCCTCCCAAGGCGCGGGATTACAGGCTGAGCCACCGAGCCCGGCTGGGTACAGGGTTTCTTTTTGGAGTGGTAACAATGTCCTCAAACTAGAAGGTAGTCATAGTTGCCTAACTCTGTAAATATACTAAAAACCATTGAACTGCACACTTCAAAAGGGTGATTTTTTATGGTATATAAATTATATCTCAATAAAGTTATTTTTTTTAAAGTCCATGATACATAATTTGTCATTTCCCAAAGAACATATTTGAATCCCATGCGCTAGAAGCTGCTGACATTTGGGAGTCCAGTGGCTAATGACTGAACCCAGCTCACTGTCCAACATTCACATTTCAGCACAGTTTCACTGTTGTCTACTTATTGACATTTGCCCGGGAACTCTTGTGAAATAGTACACACTTTTGTTTCTTTCAAAGAAAGATGACAACAAATAAGAGAATTCTTTGATGAGAGCTGAGAGGGGTTTACTTGTGATATAAGAATCTGTACAGCAAACCTGGATCTGAACAAAGCTAGAAGCCTACACAGGCATTTCTTTATGTAAGGATTTATAGACTGATAAAGATAGCTCTACTCTAATAAATCTTGGGAGACTAGTATACAAATGCAGGAGGGTATGGACAGTGGAATATAAAGAAAAGTATCTCTAAAAACTCACTAGCAAGTAATGCCATATAGAGTACAAGAATTAAACATATGAAACCAAATGAATCACATGGAACATTTTCTTGAGAAGGCACCTAAGTCCTTCCGACCCTCAGATTTTATAAAGTTAAATAAACCGTTGTGAAAACACTTGTACACTGTTATGGGAGTGTACATTAGTATACCCTCTATGGAAATTAGCATGGTGAGTTCTCAAAGAACTAAAAGCAGATCTACCATTTGATCCAGCAATCCCACTACTAGGTGTCTACCCAAAGACAATAACAAAGACACCTACACCCACATGTTCATAGCAGCACAACTCACAACTGCAGATGTGGAATCAACCTAAATGCCCATCAACTGATGCACTGATGTCCATGCAATGATAAGTCAATAAGTAAATTACTGCATGTCCCACATAATAGAATACTATTCAATAATAAGAAGGAATGAAGTATTGAAACATGTTAGAATATGGATGGATCTTGAACACATTATGCTAAGTCAAAGAAGCCAGTCTCAAAAAGCTGCATATTGTATGATTCCTTTTTTTTTTTTTTTTTTTAGACAGGGTCTCACTCAGTGAGATGAAAATGTGGTATGAAAATGTGGTGTATCTATACATTATGTAATACGCAATCACCAAAAAGAATGAGGGGATACCTTTTGCAGCAACTTGGATGGAACTGGAGAACATCATCCTAAGTGAACTAACACAGAACGGAAAACCAAACACTGCATGTTCTCAGTTAAGTGGGAACTGAACTAAGGATCTGCGAAGGCATAGAAAATGGTATAGTGGACATTGGAGACTCAGAAAGGGGAGGCGGAAAGCAGTAGAGGGAGGAAAAATCACCTATTGGGTACAATGTGCACAAGTAGGGGTGATGGGTACACTTAAGGGTCAGGCTTCTTCACCTCTATACAATGTAACCATATAACCAAAATTATTTGCACTCCCTAATGCTACTGAAATAAAAAAACAAACAACCAAACAAACAAACTTATTCATCACTACAAACTATCTGTTCTAGAAGCCCAGACACAGCAACATAACTGGGCCTTACAATTAAAGCCAGGCACAATTATAGTTCATGGAATTCTCACTCCCTTTTGCCTGTGGGACTGAATAACTTGCTCAAGATAATTGGGTGATCCCAGACCAGCCTTAGAAGCTTCAACTTCTAAATCCATCATTCTGAATGCCCCCCTCCACACGATGAATGCCTGACATACCTTCTGGAATCTGGATTGAAACAAAAGAATTACTTGGCATCACTGGTTTATAACAGGTGGGATTATTTACTCTGGTCCTAGAGGGTACTGGCAGAAAGTTCGCAGGAGGGACACTATACTTGTGATGGGTATTTGTTAGTAATTTGACTATTTCTGATTCTTCTTCTAGAAGTGTCATCAAAGAATATACAACAGGTTCTGAAGTTTCTGCAAATGTCAAGGCCTTGCCATAAAGGAACTCTGAAATATGTAAACGACATGCCAGAGGTAGATTCTCATTGGTGGAATAAAATGCCACAAGGGGAGCCTGGTAGGGATATTTGTGGTCTTTAGAAAATCGAATTTCAAGTTCATATAAAAAAGATGTATCTTCATTAGTGTTAAGATGAGAATCATCTACAATTCTTTCTATTCTTCCAACAATTTGATTTGGGGGTACTTCATGTTTGAATTTGCATCTTGACCCAAATTTACAATTTCCTTTGAGGTAAAATTTACAGATTTCATGTGAAGCTTCTTGTACATTTTTTGTATTTTCCCTTTGCTTGGATTTGCAGAATTTACTTGTCAAATACTCCAGTTCCAATCCAATGGTCCAGACTCTGTTCTGAATTCTTTCTATAAATTTTTCTCCACAGATTGACTTGAGAGCAAACGCCTCTTCTTGTCGCTGTTCCACACACTCTGCTAAGCTGACATGGTTAACTGCCTCAGAGATCTTCATCCTCTCCCCAAATGTCTCTGAAAAACACTGTGTAAGTAGATGCTCCAGTGATGCCCCCACATCTCCATCACAAATCCTCAGGACCGCTTGACAGCGTTCAACACTGAAACCATACCTGTCAAGGGCAAAACACGACAAAAATGACAGGTAAAAAGAAACACTGCATCACTGAGGTCAAATTCATTTAAAGATGCTTATGTGAAGTTAAAACTAAATGTGGGTAGGACTTGTACTTTGAAAAAGTGTCCCTGATAATACTAAGCCCTCCTTAATCCCCCATCCTATAAAATGGAATACGAGGACTATTAGACACTGGTGAAACCCACAAGAGGAATTTACATGAAGAGGAGAAGTTGGGTTTACATGATTTCAGCTTCTTCCCAGCCTCCCATAAGCCATACAAGCAATCACCTGGAAAGTTTCTGCACTGCAAACGGAGAGACAATCGGTTCTGGAATATGAGGCTCCACTGAGGCCAAACCAGCATATTCCAAAGGCTCCGAGTCGGGAACCAGGGAAGGTTCTTGTCCAGCTGGCCAGTACTGCTCATCATCACAACACTCAGGCTCATCATCCTCATCCTCTCCAGAAATGCCTCTTCTAGCAAAGGTAACATGTTCATATATTAAATACTCATTTCTACTGACTTCAAAGAAAAATTTAGCAAAGAATTTAATTCAATGAGTCAAGGACATAGGATCCTGACTACAGTCAGTGGCTGATTTAATCTTTTAGTGAACTCTTAATTTACATGTTGGCAATGAACATTTATCAGGCATTTATTACATGCCAGGTACTGTGCTAAGAGCTTTATATATACTCACTCTTTTAATCTTTCCTAAAACCCTACCAACTACTATCGGAATCTCCATTTTTCAGACGCTCCTCTAAAACTCAAAGAGGATTAGTAACTGCCTAGGGTTACACAGTAACAAGCAACTAGAGACCAAAGGCAGTCTAACCCCAGAGCTGTGTTCTAGACCAGAAATCTTGGCTCGCCTCTCATTCAGTAAAAACTATCCCCAATTTTTGTTTCGCCACATAATCCCCTTTTCTAAATCTGAGACAGATGAGAGCTTTGCACGTGGGGTGGAAAATGAACTGTTCATGGCTGACCACTAATTTTTAAATATTACTTTTTCTTTAATACTAGAGACAGGGTCTCGCTATGTTGCCCAGGCTAGTCTCAAACTCCTGGCCTCAAGTGATCCTCCTGCCTTAGTCTCCCAAAGTGCTGGGATTACAGCAGCCCCTCTTTTTTTTTTCTTTTTCTTTTTTGTAGAGACAGAAGATCAGTATCGACACAGTATCCCACAGGTGCACAGGCCCTTCATGCCGTCAATACATCTTCCTTGATATAAGGATTTACTGAAATAAAACAATTTACTCAGATCCAGCATCCGCATCTTGTTCTTGCAGGTCTCGGAGAAGAGCTTTCACTTTCTCTTGATTCTCAGAAGTCATGTGCAGAGTCTGAAGGGGCACTTTGGCTTTGGGTTTCCACTTGGGGCGAGCCTCTCCTTTGCTTGTGCTACTGTTGCTAGGTCTGCAGGGGACACAAGAGCAAAGTTACACACTTTTCAGGGTCTCCAGATAAACATAACACAAACTGGATTGTCAAGTATCTCACAAAAGATGACAATGAACATGAAAAGATTTGCCATTTTCTACAGTATCTACCAGACTTCATTATATTGGGACTGCTGAGAAAAAACTGATTAGATTCATAACTATAAAACCTGGCTTCAGCTTGGTGGTTCAGCCTGTAATCCTGTGCCTTTGGGAGGCTGAGGTGAGTGGATTGCCTGAGCCCGTGGGTTCGAGATCCACCTGGGCAACTTGGCAAGACCTCATCTCTACAATAAATCAAAAATTAGCTGGGAGTGATAGCGCATGCCTGTAGTACCAGCTACTTGTAAGACTGAGGCGAAAGGATCGCCGGAGACCAGCAGGTTGAGGCTGCGGTGGCCGGGAGCAGCCGCTGCACTCCAGTCTGGGCGACAGAGTGAGACTCCAACTCAAAAAAAAAACAAACCAAAAAACCTGGCTTCACCAACCCAAGTCTCCTCTGGAAAAGGCAATGCTGATGCTGACTCATTCTGCAATACAGGGCTTTGAAAAAGCCACACGCGAAGGGGTATTTATTTTATACTACATTAAGTACCCGATCTGAAAACAATTGAATTTTATCTTACTTGTAAATATTAGACCCTATTTCTAAGATACCCAAATTATCATTGTTTCCTGACTACAAATAAATAATAATAAATGCATGCTCACCGTGGAAAAGGACAAAGAAGAAAACAAGTCACCCCAAATCACATTATTCTTTTTCACATATGTATTTTATAAAATTTCACAGCATACATAATCTTTTATAATTTGCTTTATTTTCTTCTTAAAATAGCACTGACATCTCCCTAAAAAGAAATGTTCTCCTGTAACTTAATTTTAAATAGTTACATGTTGATATAGATGTATTGAATTTACTTCACCAATCTTTCATTGTTGAAATTTAGATTTTTTTAGGATCTCTTCTTAATATTTAAAATAACAAGTTCTAAAGTTTAACTTTTTTTATTTTCAGTCAGCGTCTCAACTCATTCTGTAGCCCAGGTTGGAGTGCAGTGGCGTGATCAGAGCACACTACAGCCTCAACCCCTTGTACTCAGATGATCCTTCCACCTCAGCCTCATAAGTAGCGGGGATTACAAGCACACACCACCACACCTGGCAAAGTTTTTAATTTTTTTGTAGAGATGAGATCTTGCTATGTTGTCCAGGCTGGTCTCAAACTCCTGGGCTCAAGCAATCCTTCTGCCTGGGCTTTCCAAAGTGCTGGGATTACAGGCATGAGCCACCACTCCTGGCTAAAATTTACCTTTATTCATTATTATTTTTTTCTTTTGGAATGTTTCATCATATATTTTCACAAATCTAGAGAAATGGAAGAAAAATTTCCCATATTTAAAAGAATTCAACGTATTATTGAGACTTTGAAAAGAACCACACATTTACACTTGCAAGACTAGGTAGCAAAGGAGAAAACACAGTCAGCTGTGGTTTTTAACCACTTAGTGGCAATTTCTGAAAAGAAGCGTTACCCCAAATCTCTCATTTCCCCTAACCTGTGTTATGAAAAATGTGAAAGGTACAGAAATAAACACCTTTGACCTAGATTCACCAATTGTTAACACATGTTTTTTCTCCTCTCTCTCTCTCATACATATATGACTACATATATGCTCTTCTCTCTACAAATGTATATACATACATTGCTGAACCATCTGAATGTAAGCTGTAGACATCATCTTCACCCTTAAATACTTCAGCATGTGTTTCCTAGGAACAGAGATAAACTCTTACATAACCACAATACCATTATCACTCTCAAGATGTCTAATATTGATAGTCACATCATCTAATATGTAGTCCAATTCAAATTTCCTAATTGCTTCAACTGTATCCTTTAAAGATTTTTTGACTGAGTAGCCAATCCAAAAAAATTCTGTTACCTCTTTTTTCAAACTCCCTTTATTTAGAACAGTTCCCCTATTTCTTGACATTGACTATTTGAAGAGCTTGGGTCTACTGTCCTGTAAAAATTCTCAGTTTGGATCTGTCTGATCATTTCCTCATGATTAGTAAAACGGGGGAGAAGTCTCATGTCTTATCCCCCACTCATCTGTCCACTCCCCCGCTTTGCCTTCCTTCCTGTTACCAAGGAAGAAGCATCCTTTGTCTTCAAGTCAATCCTTCCATTCGTATTCTTTTTTTTTGAGTTGGAGTCTCACTCTGTCGCCCAGACTGGAGTGCAGTGGCCGCTCCCGGCCACCGCAACCTCGGCCCGCTGGGCTCCGGCGATCCTTCCGCCTCAGCCTTCCGAGTAGCCGGAACTACAGGCACGCGCTACCACGCCCGGCTGATTTTTTTTGATTTACTGTAGAGATGAGGTCTCACTGCCCAGGCGGGTCTCGAACCCGCGGGCTCAGGCAATCCACTCACCTCAGCCTCCCAAAGATGCGGGATTACAGGCTGAGCCACCGAACCCGGTTTTTTTTTTTTTTTTGAGTTGGAGTTTCACTCCGTTGCCCAGACTGGAGTGCAGTGTCCACTCCCGGTCACTGCAGCCTCGACCCACTGGGCTCCGACGATCCTTCCACCTCAGCCTTCCAAGTAGCTGGAACTACAGGTGCGCGCTACCATACCTGGCTCATTTTGATTTATTGTAGAGATGAGGTCTTGCTAACCCAGGCGGGTCTCAAACCCGCGGGCTCAGGCAATCCACTCACCCAGCCTCCCAAAGGCATGGGATTACAGGCTGAGCCATCGAGCCCGGCTCCATTCGTATTCTATAGTCCAGTCTCATTCATCTCTTCAAGGAAGTCATTGCAGCACCATCCCCCTTGCACATGGTCAGTTCTTCATTCTCCACTGGATCACTCCCAACAGCATTCAGACAAGCCACAGAATGCCTATCACCCTTAAAAATCAAACCAGGCCGAGCTCGGTGGCTCAGCCTGTAATCCCAGTACTTTGGGAGGCCTAGGCGAGTGGATTGCCTGAACCTGGGGGTTCTTTGAGACTTGCCTGGGCAACTTGGCGAGACCTCGTCTCTACAATCAATCAAAAATTAGCCGGGCATGGTGGCGGGGGCCTGTAGTTCCGGCTATTTGGAAGGCTGAGGCGGAAGGATCACCGGGGCCCAGCAGGTTGAGGCTGCGGTGGCCGGAAGTGTGCCACTGCACTCCAGTCTGGGCAACAGAGTGAGACTTCAACCTCAAAAAAAAAAAATCAAACCCAACCAAATCCTCCCTTGACTGCATGTCTCCCTAGAGCTACTGCCCATATGTCCTTCCCCCATGATCCCTTTCAGTGAAACGCCTCAAATAGGTGATCAAAATCATCATCTCTCTCTACTTTCTTCTTCTCTCTGAAATGCACTAACACACTCCAGTCAGGGTTTCCTCTCCATCAACTGTGCTAATACAGCTCTTGTCAAAGTTACCCATGGTATCTACATTGCCAAATCCAATAGACAATTCTCAGTATGCTTTTCTTGACCTATCAGAAGAGGGTTTATTTGTTTAAATAAAGGTGTATTCCCCATAAGTATCCAATTCAATCTGACTGAACACTCTCCTCGAAAACTCTTTTATCCCTTGGTTTCCAAAAGTCACATTCTTAATTTTCCTCCTACTTACTTCCTTGGCAGCTCCTTCTCAATCCCCTTGGTTTGTTCCCTGTACTCTCTCTTAGCTTTATCTATTTTTTTAATTAAAAAAATTTATTGATACATCATAATTGTGTATTTTTATGAGGTACATGTGAGATTTTGATACATGCATACAATGTGCAATGATCAAATCAGGAAATGAGGATAACTATCACCTCAAACATTTATCATTTCTTTGTGTTGAGACCATTCCAAATTCTCTTAACTTTAAAACCTAGAGTGTCCCAGGATATCTTTTCTATTACATTTCATCCAGTCTTAGAAGTTTGTTTATTTTGGAACTCTTTTTCTGGAATGGCCCGCAGAGCTGGCATCATATGACCCTTAATGTCCTGAATGTCATCAAATGTTTTCCTTTCTTTTAATTTTTTAAAATAATGTATTTTTCGTTTATATTTTAAAGATGTGGGGTATAATTCAGGATTAGGTACATAACTGGTCATCATACATGTGAAATTTGGGCCTCCCATTGGTCCTCACTTTGTCTGGTTTGGGATCAGGTACCCTTAGTGATATTATGTTCCTCTCCCCGCCCCTTCTTCCCTCCCCATCCCCCGCTACTGCGAGTCCCTTTCTTGTAGTATTATGATAAATGTTCAGGATCCACTTATGAGTGAGAACATGTGGGGTGTTAGTGTCTTAAGTTAAAACCCAACCACTCAAGGATTCCATTTCCTGACCTCAAATGTCTTCCTTTCAATATTTCAATATTTATCTTCGGGTAAAGAAAAAAGTCACTGAGGGCCAGATCAGGTGAGTAGGGTGCTCCAATATAGTTCTTCATACAATGCTGTCAACATAAGCACATGGTGGCAAGTCTGAGAACTTAATTGTCAGCCCTCAATAAATAATGATGACAGCTCTCATGCCCGTTCCAGAAAAGAGTTCCAGCCGGGCTCAGTGGCTCAGCCTGTAATCCTGCACTTTGGGGGGCTGAGGTGAGTGGACTGCCTTAGCCTGCAAGTTCAAGATCCGCCTGGGCAACTTGGCGAGACCTCATCTCTACAATAAATCAAAAAATCAGCCAGGCATGGTAGCACGTGCCTGTAATTCCGGCTACTTGGAAGGCTAAGGTGGAAGGATCGCCAGAGCCCAGCAGGTTGAGGCTGCGGTGGCCAGGAGCGCCCACTGCACTCCAGTCTGGGCGACAGAGTGAGACTCCAACTCAAAAAAAAAAAAAGAGTTCCAAAATTGCTTTGACAGGGGGACTAGGTGCTGGCATCAGTGCATAGCTTCCCAAGGGGAGTATCAAAGGTGACCACAGTGATATTCAGCAATGAGATACACAGTACTTTTCCCAGGATGGTTCATAAACCTAATTGCTGGACCTCATACAATGATGATCCCATAAGGTAACAATGGAGCTGAAACATTTCTCTTGTCTAGTGATATCATAGCTGTCATAACATCACAGTGCAACACATCACTCAAGTGTTTGTGCTGATGCTGGTATAAACAAACCCACTGTGCTGCCAGGCATATAAAAGTACACGACATACAATTATGCACAGTACACAATGTTTGATAAAGATAAACAACTATGTTATTGCTTTGTGCATTTACTCTATAGTCATCCCTTGCTACCTGGGGAGGGCTGGTTCCAGGAACCACTCAGGATACCAAAATCCACAGATGCTCAAGTCCATTCTATAAAATGGGGTAGTATTTGCATACATCCTACACATGGTCATCCCATATATTTTGAGTCATCTCTAGATTATTTATAATACTGAAAACATTGTAAATGCTACATAAATAGTGTTATACTGTATTGCTTAGAGAATAACGAAAAGAAAAAAAGTCTGTATGTGTTTAGTACAGACACAACCATCCATTTTTTCTGAATATTTTTAATCCACAGTTGGTTGAATCCATGGATGCGGAACCCACAAATACAGAGGGCCATCTATACTATACTTTTCATCATTTGTAATCTCTACTTATTAAAAAAAAAAAGTGAACTGTAAAACAGCCTCAGGCAGGTCCTGCAGGAGATATTCCAAAAGAAGGCATGTTATCCCAGGAGATGACAGCTCCATACGTTACTGCCCCTGAAGACAGTGATACTGATATCCTGACGCTGTGTAGACCTAGGCTCATGTGTGTGCTTGTGTCTTAGCTTTCAACAAAAAAGTTTACAATGTAAAATAAAATGCTTTTAAAATAGAAAAAAACTTACAGCATAAAAAAAGAAAATATTTTGTACAGTTATAAAATGTTTGTATTTTGAACTGTTATGACATAGAGCTAAAAAGTTTTTTAAATGGAAAGTTAATTTGTTCATGAAGAAAAATATCTTTTGTATAAATTTAGTGTAGCCTAATTGTACAGTGTTGATAAGGTTGATGGTAGTGAACAGTAATGTCCTAGGCCTTCACGTTCATTCACAATCACTCCTAGAACTCACCCTGAGCAACTTCCAGTTCCACAAGTTCCATTCAAGGTAAGTGACCTATATAGGTGTATATATAGGTGTACCATTTTTTATCTTTTATTCTGTATTTTTTGTTTATATTTTTTGCTTTGTTTAGATACACAAATACTTGCCACTGTGTTCCAACTGACTACTGTATTCATTACAGCACCATGCTAGGAGTAATAGACTAGGCCATATGGCCTAGGTATGAAGTAGGTTCTACTATCTAGGTTTATGTAAATATACTCTATGACATTTGTACAATGATGACATCACCTAATGATGCATTTCTCAGAATGTTTCCCCACTAAGTGATACCTGACTGTACTTACACTGCACAACACGAAATAGCAATATCTTTTTCTTTTTTTGAGTCAGAGTCTTACTCTGCCACCCAGGCTGGAGTGCAGTGCCATACTCAGGGTTACCACTGCCTCAACCTGCTGGGTTCAGGTGACCCTTCTGCCTCAGCCTTTCAAGTAGCTGAAACTACAGGCACATGCCACCATGCCCAGTTAATTTTTTAATTTATTGTAGAGATGAAGTCTTGCCAAATTATCCAGGCTGGTCTCAAATCCCTGGGCTCAGGCAATCCTCTTGCCTCAGTTTCCCAAAGTGCTGGGATTACAGGCATGAGTCACCGTGCCTGGCGATAGCAAAATCTTTGCTTTTATGAAATACTCATTAGAGTTACCAGACTTCCCAAAGTTTATTCATTAGTTTAAAAAAAACATGAGAGAACCCACATGACATCTGTTACTGGTCACCACATGAAACACCATCAGTTCATGGCTGATTTGGCTGGAAAATGCATAGCTCATCAACTAGAAAAAATAGACTACAGCCACATTACACTTTTGGTTGTTCACTTTTAACCTAAACCTACGATGCCTAAGGAATACTTAAAATAATTTTCTCTACTCTCACTATTTCCAGTATTTACTTTCCTAGTAACATTGGGTATAGCAATTCAGTGTCATGCAGAAGTTAAAGTTAACTTCAGATTTCAACCCAGACATACACACACACACACACCCACACAACCAGTCATTTACCATCATGCCTTTATAAAAGGCGACAAAGAGGAGGATGGTCAGGTAACAAATAAGAGTTACAATGAACTTGACCAGAATTACTTGGCATTTTTTCCTCTCTCAGTCATCCGTCCCATACGTTAAGGACTGATACCATTTCTATATTTGAAAATTCAAAGAGTATACTAGCCTGCTGGATGAGCGCCTAGATTCGCTGAAGATACAAAAGTCATCTCCATCGTCCCAAATTCTGCTGGAAGCCTTTCTATTGCCACCGCCTCCACCACTGCCACCGCCACCACTCCCGTGAGATTTACTAGCATGACTCCTGCCTCCTCTTCCTCCTCTAGAAGACCCTTTTCCACCTCCTTTGCCTGGCTTGCCTTTTCTTCTTACTGAAGAACTCATTTTCACCTGCAAGATAAAAAAAATTAATACACACATCATAAAACCAGACAAGTATAAAACTCCCTAGTCAAGATTATACAGGCTTCTTTGAAGAAATAAAGGAAAATGCAGATGCAAAAAGGGCCAGTCTTGGAGTTGAATTTTGTTTTTTTGGGTTTTTTTTGAGTCGGAGTCTCACTCTGTCGCCCAGACTGGAGTGCAGTGGCCGCTCCCGGCCACCGCAGCCTCGACCTGCTGGGCTCCGGCGATCCTTCCGCCTCAGCCTTCCGCGTAGCCGGAATTACAGGCGCGCGCTACCACGCCCGGCTGATTTTTTGATTTATTGTGGAGATGAGGTCTCACTGCCCAGGCGGGTCTCGAACCCGCGGGCTCAGGCAATCCACTCACCTCAGCCTCCCAAAGGCGCGCGGGATTACAGGCTGAGCCACCGAGCCCGGCGGAGTTGAATTTTGAATCTGTTCCAGTGAGAAAATTAAAAAACAGAAAGGGGCCGGGCTCGGTGGCTCAGCCTGTAATCCCGCACCTTTGGGAGGCTGAGGTGAG